ACTAATTGATTATTTTACCCGTGACCAAAATCGTTTCTGACCTGTAATAAAGGCTATCGGCTTATTACTCCTTGGCTGTGCCAAGCGTATAGGCTGGGAATAAAATATTGGGGAACTTCTTGCTCACAACGGAGAACTCGTCGAACGAGATCACACCATCGCCGTCCTTATCGCCTTGGGACATAATTGTATCCGCCTTGCGCGCGACTTCCGCCTCACTGGAGGCCATGTGGTTTGCCTTGAGGATCTTCATGAGCTCCTGTCGCGTGATTACGCCGTTACCATCTTCATCGAAAACGAGGAACGCAAATTTGAGTTTTTCCTCCTTCTCAGCTCCGGTGAAATTCGACAGCGCGATCATGAACTCCCGTACATCGATCCGACCTGTCTTGTCATTGTCGAACAACTGGAACACTTTCTCGCACTGTGGCGATGGATCCACCTGCAGCACCTCGCAGAACTCGGAGTAGTCGATCTGTCCCGATCCATCCTTGTCTGTAGCTTGGAACCTCTTGTACGCCTTCTTCACGCTCTCAGGCTTGATACCATTGTCGCGCGCAAACTCTTCCAGTGCCACCTTGCGTTGGTTGCGAAGCTGAATAGCCTGTGCGCCCGAAACTGCTCCACTCGGAGTTGCTGCTTTCTCGGGTGAGACAGCAGTGACACCCAGTCCGGGTGGAGGCTGCTTGCCTTTGGTTACCATTGCGTAGAACTCGGCAAAGCTCACCTGGCCGTCGCCATCCTTATCTACCATCTTGATCATTTCGTCCACTTCTTCGTCTGTAGGTGCCTCACCGATGTTAATTAGCACGTGGCGGATCTCAGCAGCACCCACGTAATTATTGTGATCGAGATCAAAGGCTTGAAACGCCTCCAAAATTTCCTTATCGGTGAACTTGCCATTCGGATCTCGAGGTGGTTCGGACGGAGCCAAAGGTGCTGCACCAGGGACGGATATGGCGTTCGCTCCTGGAGGCAGTGGGGCCACAGCTGGACCTGAGAGGATCGGAGGCGCCATGGGTGGTGCCTTGACTGGGCCTGCGGCGCCAGCTTCGGGCTTCGTGAACTTGGCAACAATCGCCAGCTTTCCAGCAGGGCTACCCTCGCGGTCTCGCAGTTCGATGTCACCCTCATAGCCACCTTTGGATAACCATGGCACAATCTCCACCTTTGCCTGGGCCATGAACCTGTCTTGCCCGCCCTTCTCTTGGTCCCAAACTTCGATCACAAGCTCCTTCTCCGTTGCGATGTTAAAGTCGAAGTTCTCGTTAAATTCGGGCGTCCTGCCGCCGCCTGCTTGAACTTTTGTCTGCACGTTCTGCGTGCCGATCGTGAGCTTCACGTACGGGTCTGCCGTGTCCATCATGCCCAGCTTCTTCAGGTCGAACGCTCGTAACACCTTAATGGCGAGCTTGCCGAAGCGAGATGCCAGAGCTCCTGTAGGAGGCGTAGGCGCAACAGCGGTAGGTGGGAAACCACCAGGTAAGCCACGCGGAGGAAGCCCCCGTGGCATCATACCTGGAGGTGGAGCTCCTGTTGGGCCTCGAGGGGGAGCAGGTGAAGTATCTACCCCCAAAACAAAATATTAGTACTAGCAGCCACAAGAGAGCAGTGCGTTGTCATCATACCTTCCGCGGACACGGGAACGATAGCCGTCGGGACCTCGTTCGGTGGAGCTACCGCTGCACCCGGAGGCCCCGGCGGAGCTCGAGGTGGCATTCCTGGAGCTCCCGGTGGACCCCGAGATGTCGGTGGGAAACCCGGTGGTGGTCTCGTCGGTGGAGCTGTCTGCATTCCAGGAGGCATTCCCGGTGGCATTCCTGGACGCGGTGGCATTCCAGGTGGAGCCCCGGGCGGTCCTCGTGGTGGCAGACCAGGCGGCATTCCTGGCGGCATCCCTGGTGGTCCTGGTGGTGCCATTCCGGGTGGAAACCCTCTCGGAGGCATCCCAGGAGGAGGACCCGCCCGTGCCATTGCTGGAGGTTGACCTGGTGGCATTCCTGGAGGCGTGCCGCGGAAACCTGGAGGTGGGCCTCGTGGTGGTCCGCCTATCGTTTGTTCACAACATTTGAGCCTCGGACAAGAAAAATAAAGCAACAGCATTGACATACCAGGTATCGCACCAGGCGGCATTCCCGGCGGTGCACCTGGCGGTGGAGCTCTACCGGGAATGGCTCGAGGTGGCATTCCCGGCGGCATTCCTATCATTTGTCCACAATATTTGAGCCCTCAAACAAGGTGAAATAAAGCAACAGCAATAACGCACCAGGCATCGCACCGGGCGGCATTCCTGGCGGTGGAGGTCGACCGGGAATGGATCGAGGTGGCATTCCTGGTGGCATTCCTATCATTTGTCCTCAACACTTAAGCTCTCAGACGAGAAATAAGCAACAGCATTGACGTACCAGGCATCGCACCGGGCGGCATTCCTGGCGGTGCACCTGGTGGCGGAGCTCGAGCTGACGGCGGAGCACCCGGAGGCGGACCTCGGGCAGGAACTGAAGATGGTAGGGCTCCTGGTGGTAAGCCTCGTGCTGGAACTGCTCCAGGCGGAGCACCAGGCGGAGGTCCTCGTCCTGAATGGAGTAGAATATTGTATAAGATTAGCGTGAGATAAATTCGTGATGCATTGGCGGCAAAGACGCAGTGGTTTTGACCTGGCGGTGGTCCCGGGGGAGCTCCTGGAGGCGGTCCTCGGCCTGAAAGCATCGTGCCACGTGAGATTAAAAAAGCAAGAGGCATTAAGGTTATCAAAATATCCACGAGTGCGAGCAACCTGACCTGGTGGAGCTCCTGGCGGCGGTCCTGGGGAAGGCCCTCGACCGGGCGGGGCTCCTTCTTACGTATAATTTCAAGTTGGACTTGGCACTGGTAAGTATTGGAGTGAAGGTATATAACGTACCTGGAGGGGGTCCTCTACCCGGTGGAGCTCCTTTCCGTGTCAATAGTTGCAGGTTTTCAGCACCATTTTCTTAAGAAAAAGACTGCACATAGAACGATAACTAACCTGGCGGTGGTCCACGACCCGGCGGAGCTCCTATTCACATATAATTTCAGGTTAGGCCTGCCAGCGGACGAGCTTGCATTAGAAGTATAGATTCTCATAGCGTACCTGGTGGCGGACCTCGACCCGGTGGAGCTCCTTCATAGCAAGAGGGTCACAAATTCGGTTTGACAATGACATTACGGCACCAAAAGCACTGCATCGGTAACATCACACCTGGTGGAAGGCCTCTTGGCGGCGCAAACCCGGGAGGTGGACCTCGAGACTGTGGGTAACCTGACGGTGGTTGTCCAGGCGGCGGTCCCCTTGGTGGTGGGCCCCGGCTGCACCACAGCGTGAACAAAACAGTAGTTCCTAGGGAATTAATCAACCAGGTCAACTCGCGCTGCAACAATCAGACTTACGGCGGGGAAGCGTCGGTCATAGCGATGGACGCCTTTGCCTGTTAGCTCAGGAAACTCAAGCGACTACTGGTATCTGCTGGCAGTACTGCTTGCCGGTCATTCAGAGCTGCATCCTGCGTGGCATTAAAACCTCAAAGCTTAGGATATCATCACCACAGAGTAGTCAACGTACAGCAGCAATCGGTAAGCAAGTCAGCCTGATCCAAGCGAGATCAGGAGTCTGTCAAGGGTCGCACAGACGACTATTTTCAACCGTGAACAATGTAAATCCAGCCAACTGGAGTGCCGATGTTAATCACCAACGTTTGGATCCAGAACATCCACGAAAAACGCACAGCTAGTGAAAGTCACGACCGCTTCATAATGTCAAAATAAGCATCTATCGTGGTCTGTCACTTGTTGATACAAGGATAGCGCTGAGCCTTCTTGTCTAGCCAGCCTTTCAACCACAAGTAACCATCCAGCTTCTTTCTCGATCTTTGTATCCTGCATCGAGAGAGGCGGGTATCTGCTATCATTTCGGCTGTGTTGGTTTTTTGTCATTTTTTTACGCCTTGGGTTTCTCCTTCGACGCCGTTTGTTTCTTGATCATAGTAGCGATCTTTCCTGGCGCTTTAGGAGGCAGTTTGGGTGCGCGGCCCAAGAAACGCGCAATACGCGGCGTTATTGCGATCGTCAGCGCCAGACGCACAGGCTCCGTGAACTTGGTCGCGATCCACGCTAACAAGAATGTGCCCGTCTTGGAGCTCACTTGCTCCACCTCCAAGTACTTTGCGATGCCTAAATCCTCCGCAATCTTGACAAACCTATCAAATCGCGAAAAGTTAGTGACTTCAACACCCAAGTCTTTAGCTCTAACAAGTACTAAAAACCCACTTGTTCGTCGTAGTAACGAGATTAAAGCTCTCGTCAAGTTGTCCTTCTCCCTTAGAGTTGGTCCTTTTGTTGGTGCGTACCCAGCCCTGGTCGATGGCCAGATACATGGAGCCCAGCACAACTCCATACATGGTCAGGTACGTGCCGATTGCCACGATGCCGTATTTGCGCCACAGATCCTTCAAACGCTCGAGATGTGACATACTCTCGGCAGTAGCCACTTCGCCTCCTGAAGCTTTGGACACCGATGAGCTGGAGCGGCTGAAAACGGAAGAGCGAGCGGCGAGCGAAGTCATGAACGATGGAGACCGAGCGCGCGGCTGATGCTGCACGAAGAACCGCTCAATGCGAGCCACGGGCAGTGCAGACGTCGGCAGCCTGCACGAGCTAAGCGGGAGCGACCGGAGAGCGGTGGTGCGCCGTGCAACACCGGCGAGACGTGCGGCGCCGAGCATCCTGGTGGCGGAATCGGTTTTGTGGCTGGTGATGGATTATCCAATAAACACGGTTAATATGCTCGCCAAAATTGATTGTAACAAATGAAACTTATTATACAAGTGAATTTGTTATCAAAGGAATAATGATGCTTTTAATGAAACGAATCATGGTATGGATACACTTTTATTCGATTTCAGATTTATGCAAGAATAATGATGGCGCTGAAAGCAGCCGGTTCTAGTTGAAGTGCGTTGTCACTTAGAATGATCTTTCTTCACTAATCATTAAGCCAGTGATGTACGTGCATCCATTTCGGCTTTAGGCTAGCAAGACTGAAAGCACAACCGATGCCACCGCCACACCAGCCGCCAGAACGGAGCTGGACGCAGTCGAGCCAGTCGTCGCATCTACCGTCACCACCGCCTTCGCCAGAGTCGGGAAGGTAAAGTTCTCAGGAGGCGGGACGCATCCCGTGGCCGTGCTGTTGCAGAGTGTGCACATCTGTCCGTAGAGCTCGCGCTTACAGCCGAACTCCGAGTCGCAGTCCTTGACATTGAAGTAGCACGGCGGGTTGCCAGCAGTGAGCTCAGCTACGGTCGGCAGCGGTTGCATGTGCCTGATCACTGCACTCTCAATCTGCGACGACTTGTTGGACTTAAGTAGATTAGCATAGGCCGACAGCAGCTTCTGCGTGCGCACAGCATTGGCCGTCGCGTTCTGTGGGTCCTTCCAGAACGGAATACTGGCGTTCCAGACACCTGCCTCCGAAGCTTGGAACTCGACGCCACCGGCCTCACAGAATTCGGTGAAGTTTGCGTACTTCTCGCCTGTGGCCTTGTTCGTCATGGCCGTGATGCCGACAGCGTCGTCAATAGGCACGTAGCCGAGAATTCGGTAGTTGTATGTACAGGAAATACCGTCCGGCAAAGTGTCCATATCGCAGAGTCCTTGACGAGTTGAGTCGCGGCATTCCTCGGTCTTGTTCGCCCACTTCTGAAGTGGACAGTTGTTAGGGAACGAGTACCACCAGCAGTTCGGGTACGGCGCACGCGCGTCAGTCTCTTTCGATTCGCCACCGATGAACGGGCCAAGGTTCGGTACGCTCGTGTTGCCATTCAGAGAGACGCATTCCTTGGAGAACACGTTTGTTCCGGATATTGGCGTGCACTGACCGCCGTCCATGGGTAGCATAGGACCGTATTCCGACTCGTACTCGGCCACTGTCTCGTTGGTTTGGGCGAACACGATGTCATAGAAGACAACATACTGCATGCCGTTTTTGCGCCAGCATCTGTCCTCTTCACTGCGAGTGTTGTAGTTGATTCCCTCGGCTTGCACGTACATGAGTGCTCCTTCGACTGATGCCGTGTTTACGGTGTCGAGCGCACCGCGAAATTGCTCCTCAGCCGTGTCGTAGTACTTGGAGCCGAATGCATTGGTCGTCTCGTTCCAGATTGGGGCATCGCTTTGCACCCGTGCTTGGATCACACGGACTGGTTTAGTGTGATATTTATCGGAGTTGGGGGTCTTCTTCAGCGACCTGACAAAACTGGTCGAGGTAGACGCAACAAGAGCACGACTGCGGTATGACGGGCGTTCGGTGACTTCCAGCTCGGCTGATAATGACACTTCTCGGTCTGAAACTGCATTCACGGAAGACACAGCCAAAGCCGATGCGGCAACTGCAACGTAAATCTTCATGGGAAAACTTGTCGGGGGAGGTCTTGGTGTTTTTTTAAGAATGGGGGCAAGTGTGTGAGCGTCAAATGTAGCCGTGTTGTCTAGACAGAAGAACTAGTAAGCTTTATAGGTCAGATCGTAGTGCCAGATCTCGAAGGACATGCCTGAATCACCGCATCCATATCAAGATGACCAGAACTTTTGGGTGGGGATATCAATTTTCGCCAATCGAAACTAATGCCGTGCGTTGCCCGGGAAGCTCTGGATATTTACGCATCGAAACGCTACAAATACAAGTAAATAATATCTACCGTATAAACATCAATAACA